CGGGCTGCCTTCGCCACGGCGGCGTTCACCTCCATCACCGCGCAATGCCCTTGTGCGAGGCCTTCGGTCAAGAATGCATGACACTCCGCTGGCTCCCCGTACTCATCCAAATCAGGCTGCCATCCACGCGTCGCCCGAGCTTTCTTCCTCCTCTGAACTACGCTCACTGATGCGGCAAAGCGTACAAAAGCTGCCCTGTGATCAGATTGCCCTTCCAGATATGTCCACATGCCGGCTGCCTCTTCTATGATATTGAGCCGCTCCTCCGGCAGCGAGATACAATCGATCTGCCTTAAAGCGGAAGCGCTGCGCAGTCGACGCGTCCACACCTCATCCCAAGACGCCTGAAAGAGAGAAGCCGCTGGAACCAAGCGAACGCCATGCAGCCAACGAGTGAGTTGATGCCCGCGCTCGTTCCGCACTCCAATACCCTGCGGGCCAATAGTGCGATGATCATATGCTGCCGTGCGCTTGCCAAGAATTGTATTCGCATCGGCTCCAGCTACCGTTGCCCTCTTTTCTTCCGCGCCAGACCCAGCAAGCCCTCCAAGTCGAACAATGCTGCAGTGTGCTCGTCGTCGGTGTGTTCCGAATGAGGGAAACGAGCAGTAGCATAACAAAATGCAGATTCACCTAAACTGAAATCCAGTGCTACCGCGGTGGGCGAAGCTACTCGAAAACGCGTCGTCGCCCCCGCCCGCACCCACCTTCGATGAGGCAGAATTCCCACACTTCGCTTGTTGCGTGCAGACGGCGAGCAGCACCACATATGCCCAGACCCCAAAATCTTCTCAGTCGTCGCCTCCATCATGGGGCCTTCCTGGCACAAAAAGACGTCCCAGCGTGAACTGTTGTCTAAGATGTCCCCTACATCTGTTATTTTCCCGGCCCCCATTCCATTCGCATTCCAGCTGGTAACCATCAAGGACTTGATCACGAGTGCGTTGGATGATTCGTCGCCCGCCCAAGACCCAGAGAAACCAGCCGGTGTAACGCGCACTGACTTCATCATCCCTGCTCCCTGCAGAATCGAACATGGCACATCCCCGCAAACCCTCGAAAACCGTCCTCGCCCCCCTCCCTGGGGGCCCTGCGGTCCTCGCCCCCTCCCGTGGGACTCTGCCGCGTCTTCAATGAGCTTCATCTGACCGTCGGTCCACAATCCTACACGCTTCTCCCTCCACAAGCCCCTCTTGTAATTCGTGTCGATGTCCCGCTTGATGGAATCCCCGTCCCCCCCATTCGCCTCGATGATGGTCCCTCACCACCTTCCTTACTGCAAATCCCCTTCTTGCCTCCTCTGATATTCCACCGTTTTGAATAATGTTCTTTCCCTTTCTGCGAACTTTTTGCCGTGCGCGAAAATCTCGTCCAACTCCCCCTCCACCTCCTCCACACGGCGTCTCCAATAAAGGTCATGATCTCTGACGCCTTCCTGGGAGCGTGTCGAAAGTGATCGTGCACCCTCTTTCCTCCTCCTTCCCCATGTTCCTCCTGCTGCCCTGTCTCGTACGTCCCTCCTGTTTTGCGTTGGTATTTTGACCTGTAGCTGCTGCCGCCCACGAAGAAACAGCCTTCGTACCTCCCTTCCCCTTCATCCCCTCCTTCACGACGTCCTTCACCATACCCAACAAATCTGCCTTCATGGTTCCCACCAACTACCTGGCCATGTCAGCAGCGGCTTCGGCCTGCTGTGCAATGTTATTGGCCTCCTCCACCTCCGCCCTCGTGCTTTCCATGTCTCTCTTCATCTCTTGTATCATGCTCATCATCGTCTTCATATTTCCTCCTCGCTCATGTCCTCGCCCTCCCCCATGCCTTCATATGTTTTTTCTGTTGCCTTATTATTGTCATCCGTCTCCTTGTCGTCCACGATCTTCGCCTGCTTCTTATTCGGATCTTCGGGACAGCAACCCTGCGGCTTGAGTTTCCGGCCACTGCCATCCGCGAGGGCCGGTGCATCGGCCATGCCGGACATGACACGCCACTCTGGTGTATATATGTAGCTCTCTTGAGCCAACTCTTGAGCCAGTTTGAGCTCTTGCGCCAAATTTCGCCTTGAGCCAAATCTAGCCTTGAGCCAAGATGGCCTCCAAGACGGCCCTGGAGCACCCCAAGAGGGTCCCAAGTCGGCCCAGAGAGGCACCCAAGACGGCTTCCGACGGCGTCAGGCGGGCCAGGAGCTCACCAAGGCGGCCCAAGATGGCTCTAAGATGGCCCCATACGGCCCAAGAGGCCTCCAAGAGGCCCCCAGGAAGGCCCGAAGAGGCCAAAATCATTGATTGTCGCTCGGTTTTTGAAGGATTCTTGAATTGCATATTTTCGGCCTACCGACGGCCCAAGAGCTCCCCCAAATCGCCCCAAAATCACCCAAGAGGCCTCCAGGATGGCCTCAGAACGGCCCAAGAGGCCCCCGCCCCAAGATGGCCCAAGAAGCCTCCGAGACGCCCAAGAAGGCCTCCAAGACGGCCCTGGAGCACCCCAAGAGGGCCCCAAGTCGGCCCAGAGAGGCACCCAAGACGGCTTCCGACGGGCCAGGAGCCCACCAAGGCAGCAAGAGGCCCCCGAGAAGCCTCCGAAGGCTCCCAAGAGTCCTCTAAGAGGCCCAAGGAGGCCCCCAAGCTGCATCCAAGAGGCTCATAGGGAGTGCCCCCAGAGGCTCCCAAGGTGCCCCCTCCTCCTCCTACTCCTCCTCCTCCTCGTCCTCCACCTCCTCCTCCTCCGCCTCTTTCTGATCTTCCCCGCCATCCTCCCCCAAGTGTTCCCCGAAGGGTTTCCACAACGATTGCGGGAACACATGGTCCGATAGCTTGGCAGAGTTCTTGCCACAACGCTTGGCCACATGGTCGATTCTAGAAGGCAGGGGGGCGGCGTTGATTCGCCGTAGGCCTCTTCGATAACGCCAACGTCTCAATATGCGCTGATGATTCCTATCCGCCCCCGCATGCTGTTCCCAAATGCGCCAAGGCAGTGCCGAGACGCACCGACCTGACTCTGATAGATCCCATTATGATAGAGAGGGGGCTGGCTGCAGGGGGCGAAGCCCTCACGGATAAACCTCACTGGATCCCACTTGAGTGGACACGAAATCCCATTACATTCAATTCAACCATTTGTTACAAAACACTGAGGGTCGAACAGAAACTCCCATTCTTGGCCACTGAAGGGTGGCGCGCCCATCCAAAGCGGGTCGGCCGCTTCGCCAAAACTTCCGGCGACTCGGCAAAACATCGCGCCAGAAGCACTTCTCCCCTGACCTTCCAGGAGGGCGCAACAAATAGCACCAGGACTTTGACGCCGAAACTCCTCTCGCGGCTTTAGGCAGTCCAGATAGGCCTATATATTGGGTGACCCAAAAGGGAGTCCAGCTGCAAAGGGGTGGTGCAATAGATTTGATGCAATTGAATTGCAAACGTACTGCGCCAGAGAATTGCATTGTATTGTGTTGCAGCTAATGCATTGCACGCAAAAATCCAGCAGTACATCTGGGCCCCCCGGAGTGTGTTGCACGCCCCAGATGTATTGCAACCCCACAACAGGTCTATTGCACAAAATCTATTGCACCACCCCCTTGGCTTAGGTCGGGCGTATCCCCCTACAGGCAGATTTGTGAGGAACATATCAAACTATTTGAAGAATACTCCGAACATACTCAAACAAATAATCAAACATCCGTCCCCTGACTATTGTTTGACTGTCCTTGAATATTCCTCCTGTAGAGGGACAGGCCCGACTTAACCCTTGGCGCTGGACCCCCTTTTGGGTCTGAGTCAGCCCGAGACAGGTAGGGGACGCTAGTTTTTCTAGCACGCCGGAAGGCCAGGGTGGGTCTTCGGCCTCTGGGGGGCCGTGCTCGAGTCCCTGGGAGTGCCGGGAGGACGACGCGGGGTGAGAGCGCGGCCCCCCAGGAAGGAGTCGAGGGGAGGAGGAGGAGGAGGAGGAGGAGCCTGAGGAGGAGGAGGAGGAGGAGGAGGAGGAGGAGGAAGGGAAGGAGGAGGAGGAGGATGAGACGGAGGAGGAGGAGGAGGAGGAGGAGGAGGAGGAGGAGGAGGAGGAAGAGAGGTAGTGGGAGGCTACAGCCCTCTAGCAATGGCAACCGAGCTGTCTGGAATGCCACCCTCCTGGGCGCGAGGATCGTCGAGCAGCAGGTGCAGGGGCGCCCTGGACTTCGCGACTTCGCCCTCTCTTTTATCCAGAAGCTGCAGCTGCTCATCACCACTGTCCCCCGCAAGGGCAGTCCTGGGCCTTGGGAAGGTGTGATACAGCCTCGTGGCCCTGACCAGGAAGGCGAGTGTTCCATCCCAAGACCCAGGACGACCATGGCCATGGATAGCGGTGATTTGCACTTGCCTTTTGTGGATCGTAGCGTCAGACGTCACGATACCAGACACGCCAGTGGAGCACGAGGGGCTGCAGAGACCTCGGCGGTACCACACCGCGGCTAAATTTCGGCGTCCACGTGAGTTTGATGTCAAGCGCTACGACTGAACCCTCAATCGTAGCTCTTCTTATGACGCTCCGTTGATATCCAAACGAACTTGCCTGGTAAGTACTATTTTTTGAGACCCGATGCATGACGGCCCGAAGATCCCCAGTCGGCCCCAGGCCGCCCCAAGAAAGCTCCAGGACTGCCCCGAGATCCGCGCGGGCGTCTCCAATATGATAGAACCGAGCCCTACAAACCCCAAATTAACCCCGAAACTCGAAACATCCCGAACTGGTCTCCAAAGAGGGCCCCAAGAGGGTCTACACACGAAACCTCCAAGAGGTCCCCATGAGGGAGCGCTACAGTCATGCAAGACTAATCATATACCATGATACAACATCGTAGCGCTTCTTCCCAAACGGCACCAGATGTTGCTATACCAAAATGTTTCGGAACAGCTTGGCGCAACCATGCTGCATACATGTCGATGCTGCGCTGGCTCGGTGTTGGGATGCGAACCAGGTAGATGCATAGCAAGCAACAAGTACTGCAACAATGAGATGCCAAGTCGATCCTCCAAGCTGCGCTTGCATGGAGGACAAAACAGCGGTAACACTTTCGGCGTCAGCTGCTTCCACTTCCTGGCATCAATGTGCACCATGCTTAATCATGATAGTACGCGAAACACAAGCCTGGAGGCCGAGCGTGTTGCATCTCGGCCAACGTGTAACATTTGGTAGGGGCGAAGTTCCCGCCGTGGGCCTGCTGACATTACCCAATCGCTTGTGCAGAAATTCACGATGAGCAACAAACCAAGCACGGCACATGGTTTGGGCACACATAACGGCATGTTACGAATCCTCAGGCAAGCGGCAAGGTGAAGCCAGGTGCTGTCGTCGAATCAGGCGGACCGTACAGACGGATTCGATAAGAGGAGACATTCATGATGTCCGAGGCCGCTTCGAAAGGCCACCCTGGACTGATAAGGTTGGCACGTAGGGGAGGGATGCGAACCGCCACTTTGAAATCTGAAAGCGCTGAGACGCTTCCTTGAAATCGACAAATACGATGCACTGCGCCATCATCAAAACTTGACGGATAAGCTCGCATTCTAAACGCAAGCCACTCCACTGGCGAGCCCCCCCAAATACCCGTCCCCACCTTGGACGAAGGCGGGGGAAGCCGTCCCGCCAGTCCGAGGAGGGTGAAGGGGGGGCACGAGGAGGGATGTGAACAGAAGTCCATATCAGGATGGAAGATGAATGAGTCACAAAGCCTGAGTTGAGCCAACTGGCGAGTGACCTCCAATACTATGAGATACTAGACCATGCAATGGTGTTGGGCTTATGTCGACAAAACACGTTGACACACGCCCTCAAGCTCGGACCCGGAATCGCACAGCTCGAGAGCCGACTTCATCCAGATGTGGACCACACATGCTGACCAACGCTGTCTTTTTGTCGGAGCACGTGGTCCCTAACGACTCGCGAGCCCATATGGGATCGCTGTTTTCAAACACGGGCCCATGTCGGACCACGTGCTTCCACATGTGAACACGGTTGCACGTCTGCACGGTGATCAAGATTGTATCTAATGTTGTCTGTGTGCATTTGGGAAAGAGCGCGGCGCGGACGTCTGGACAACACCTGCTCAGTGAAGAACATTGACCGTCCGTCCGTGCTTCACGCACGGTGCTGTTTCCCTGAGGCTATGAGCCCTCGAACCGTGGATAATACACTCGAGGGCGCTGTCGAGATTATCTTGCACCCCCGATCATGTGTTCGATATCGAAGAATCACGAGGACAGACCAGATTCAGGAACCTTGCGTACTGCATTGTCGACATCATGAAGACACACTGTCGTGCCACAATCGATTTAACAACGTGCGCCTTCCAGAACTGATGCGATAAGCGGGGGGGAGGGGGCGACTCGGGGCAACCGTCGAAGAACGCCTCGAGGCCGTGGCACGTTAGGGGAAACGAGAGACAGAGACAGAGAGAGGGAAAGAGCGCAGGGGCAACAGGAGCAACAGCCGACAGCGAGGGGAAAGACGGCTCTACATACTGAAGCCACTTGACGACAGACTGGACCTCGACCTCGCCAAGATGCCCAAAACGCAGGCTGTCCTCCCAACCCTCTGGAGAATCGGCACGTGCCCTCTTCGTCCTCCTACTCATGCTCGGTCTCCTCCTCCTCCTCCTCATCCTCCTCCTCCATGGCCTCCTCCATCGCCTCCATGTCTTCCCCCTTCTCCTCTGCCTTCGCCTCCTCCTGCCCCCTCCCTCCAGACTCCTCCCCCTCTGCCCCCTCCCCCGCCCATCTCACTCCCTCCACTTCTAAGGAGCCCGCAGCGGACGTACGCGCCCAGCCACGCACATGACCACAGCCCCCGAGCTCGCGAGGCCAGCCTCGTGTCACGAACGTTCGCGCAGTGCGTACGTCCGAAACCAGCGTGGATTCACGTACGTGCACAGGCTTAATGAATTGATTGCACAGGACACGCGACAGGACACAAGACTCTTACGTCGGCAGCATGACCTCCAGAAGCGCAGGACGCAAGGGCACCCTGGCCCCGGGTCTGCAGAGGACGCGACGCGCGATGCACAGGACACAGGAATACCCTTGACTTGGCAGGGTCGACCCACTAATCTGGGCCGACTGTACGTCCTTTTTTCGCTCCTGACCTTCCGCCCCCAACGGTGTTGCTAAAACTGCCTCTGGCCCAAGGTGCCCCCAACTTTCCTTCCATTTTGAAGCCCCTGGGGCCCTCCGGGCCTCGTGACGGGTGCCCCGGAGACCGCCTGGGCCACACCGAGAATCCTGGGGGTACCTTGGGCCAGAGGTACTTCTGGGAACCCCCGACACTGCCACGCGGAGCCAGCGCCGCCCTGGCCCGGAGCCGCCGCGCGCAGCAGACAGGGAGCCCCACCGGCGAGGCCCAAGGGGAGCCAAGGCAGCAGCGAGGCCACAGGGCCCCCAGGAGGGGGCACCCGGCGGGAGCCGATTGCGGGGCCGCGGGGGGAGCCAAGGGCCGCAGAGCAGCGCCGCACCCGCAGGGCGCCGCGCGCGCCGCCGGGCGTCTCCGACGGCAGAGCGGGTTCACGCAGACGTTGTACCTGAGGGCGACGAGATCAATGTAGAGATCAGAAGCTTCCCCCCCCAATCAGCACCCCGACAGGCGGAGCCGCCTAGGAAGCGCACCCGAGGAAGTAACCGAACAGGGCAGGGCTGTAAACGCAAAGGGCCGTTTCGCAAACGTCACCCATGATGGGCGTGACCACAGGGGAAAGGATGTATACTTCTCGTCGCCTGGTACCGGGGCACGAAGTCGGCCACGCCGGCGGAGGCCTCGGCGAGGGCCTGGCCAGCGGCCCTGTCGGCAGCGGGGGCGTCTCCTGGGCGCGGGGTGGCGCGGGCGCTGCCCAGGAAAGTATGCGTAGCGTCGAGCCGAGAGCCGCGTACTAAGAGCGTGGATGTGCGCGGCGCGCGTGCGACGGCAGCATTTTGAAAAAACACGCCTATCCTTGTAACTTCCAAACCGTTTAAGACGAATGCACGCCGCGCTAAGATGAGAATCGCATCTTGGAAATTGACTGCACACTTTCCTTCCGTACAGCTGCTGGACTTGAAGGACCACATGATCATACGCGACAACGAAACATCGGGCGAAACGCCTTACTCGCCCCACCGACACGCCTGGTTTTGTAACAAGCAAGGCATCACTTTATGAGGAAGAGCGAAAAGAGGAGGAATCTTGGGCCCAAAGTCTCCGGGGTGGCCTCCTTCGAAACGGGGGCGCCCCGGGCCATGGGCACTTATGGCAACACCCGCAGATGGTGTCGGAGCATCGCGCCGCCGAATGACGCGCACCACCACGAAGGCAGGCGGAGCCTCCGAGAGGGCGGGGAGGCGAGCCCCGGCGAGCGATCTTGCACGACCTCGGCGAGCACGAGCGGACACCCTCGGCGGGCACGGGGCGGCCGTCGCCCCGCGGCTGAGCGGCTGCGGTCTGAAGCAGGTCCTGCGCAGGACGGCGGCGCCTCCCCGCTGTCCCCGACACCGTGTCCAGCATTGGTCGGCCTTGACTGCCAGCCAGCAGCATCACTGGGCACATGATACGACAAGGTGACACTGCTCATCCGCAGCATCTGACTTCGAGCCTGCAACATCCCCAGCACCTGACTTCGAGCCTGCAACGAAGTATGACCAACAAGGGCGATCAGGCCTGACTTCGAATCAAAGGATGAGGAGGAATCGCTGGGGGTCTCCTGAGATCTCTGAAGTCCCCGGAGAGACTAGAAAAAACGTCCAAAACCATGAGGGGAGGGCGAGATGGCCATGAGAGAAAGGGGCCCGGGCCCTGGGTGGAACTCGTCCTGGTCCCATGCTTCTCCGCAGAGTTAACTTGTCATCCCAAGCCGATGCGATGACGTCCCTAGGGGGGTCCACGTGTCCGACCACAGCCCCACAACTCACTTCCTCTTATTTAAAGACTCCTGTATCTCCATGGCGACGATGGGCAGGAGAAACCATCATATCGACTCGAATCGGAGCGTGCATCGAATCAGGGTGCAACGGCGCGGATGTGATCGGATTGGCCGCGCCAAACATATCACCACATGGGATCGTCGCGAAGTCGAAGTGGGATCGGATCGAACAGGGCGAAATCGACATCGAAACATATCGATCAAATCGAGATGGGCACTGTGAAGGGCGGGAGGACGAGCGGATCGGACAAGAAGAAAGAACAGCAACGGGTAAGGGTATAGGGCAATTTAACATATCAGCTGCACGCAGCTGGTTTTCACGGCGGCGCCCCCCAGCGCCAGAGGAGTCCACGTGCGAAACGAAACCAACTACACACAGCAGATGTCGTGCCCCTCCTTGTTTGTCTCGCCGATGCTCTGGCGACGTGGGGACAGAGAAAAACAAACTCCAGAAAGCGCCGCATCGACGATACGTCGGCAATGCGGCGCGATCCACTGACCCAAACGAACCGCCGAGTTGCCGCAAAACGGAACGCGAAATAATGAAGCGGGCCCTTAAACCTTGGAACCAGCGCGGACGACTTCAGGAACAGCGAACCCCTTTCAGATCCCAAAACGGTCCTTACAGTGCGCGAGCGGCCGAAGGACCCCCGTCGCAGGACACTTTGGCGACACGGCAAACCGCCACAACAACCATCGACGCAACGCTGGCCGCGCAAAGGCGCCCGCGCAAACTCGACCGCGGCCAGCGGAATATGGCGCGCGCGTGCATGCGAGGGGCCGCGGCCGCGGCGGCGGCCGAGGCCGTACGGTCGGGCAGAGCGTTGCCTCAGGTGTTTGTGGGCGGCGCGTTGGGCCATCAGGTTTTATCGGCCTCGGCCCGCGCCAGCGAGCGCTGCCTATCGAAACGCTCGCGTGCAGGCGCGCGCGGGCCAGCGCGGGCCCACGAACAAAACAGCAGCAACAACGCAAACTCACCGCGAGGCGGGCCGAACGCCGCCCCCGAGCGGAATGGAAACCGCGGGAATCTGGAGCGGGCTGCGCTGGCCGTTACAAGGAAAGTTGTTTGGGCTCAGCCCCGATGGGTCGGTCCTCCTCCTCCTCCTCGTCCCTTTTCCTCCTCCTCCTTTTCCTGCTCCCCTGCTCCTCCTCACCATCACCATCATCATCATCATCAACAACATAAGCAGCATCATCATCATCATCACCACCACCACCTAAGTCATCAGCATCCCCATCATCATCATGACCACCACCCGCATCATCATCATCACCAACATCAACATCATCATCACCATCATCATCATCATCATCATCATCATCATCATCATCATCATCATCATCATCATCATCATCATCATCATCGTCGTCATCGTCATCGTCATCGTCACCGTCACCGAGATCAGCAGCACCATCATCGCCTCCGCCATCGCCATCGCCATCGTCATCATCACCAACACCATCAATCTCCTACTCCTCCTCCTCCTCCTCATCATCATCCTTATCACCATCATAAACATCATCACCATCATGCCCTTTTCGTCCTCTCGTCCCCCTCCCTTCCTCCACCATTTTTCCTTCCTCATCCCTTCCTCATCCCTTCCTCCTTCTCTCCTCCAACCTTCCTCCTCCTTTCCTCCTTCCTTCCTTGTCCCTTCCACCTCCTCCTCCTCCTGCTCCTCCTCCTCCTCATCCTCGTCCTCGCCCTCGTCCTCGTCCTCCCTCCCTTCGTCCTCGTCCTCCTCCTCCCCCCCTCCTCCTCCTCTTCCTCCTCCTCCTCCTCCTCCTGCTCCTCCTCCCCCTCCCCCTCTTCCACCTCCTCCTCCACCTCCTCCTCCTCCCTCCTCCTCCTCGTCTCGTCCTCGTCCTCCTCCTCCTCTTCGTCCTCGTCCTCGTCTTCCTCCTCCTCCTCCTCCTCCTCCTCCTCCTCCTTCTCCTCCTCATCCTCCTCCTCCCCCTGTTTCTCCTCCTCTTCCTCCTCCTCCTCCTGCTCCTGCCCCTGCTCGTCCTGCTCCTGGGCAAAACTACGCGAAGGCCAAATTCTGGCACAGATGCCGGGGCCCTGGCCCAGAGGAAGATGTACTGCACCAGGCTGTTGCCGAGCGCGGGGCCCCGCTGCAGCAGGGGAGCCAAGCCACGCTGGCAATCCGACTCCACATCCAATGTGCCCCGCCAGCCGCCAGGTACAGCACCGTTCCCGCTCGAAGAAACGGGATTCACATCTACTTGCAGTCGGCGGCGATGGCCTGCCCGAGCCCACCGAGGACGGCAGCAAGGCCGCCAAGCTCGTCCTCGCGAGCCGCACCAGCCAGGGGCAGGGCAGTCCTCCCCCGCAGGGGCCCGAAAACCAGCGGCAGGGCAGTCATCCCCCGTGGGGGGCCAAGAGCGGCAGCAGCCCAGCAGCGTGCCCTTCCTGTGGGCAGCGGGTGGGGGCCGTCGCACGGCGTCTCCCTGGATGGCGGGGCGGCAGCGTCTATGTGGACCCCGCCTCGTCCTCTATGCCCTCGTCGCTGTCGGTGGGAAGCACGTCGAAGTCGTTCCCCACGTCGTCGTCATCGTGGCTGTCGGTGGCCGACTCGTGAGAACTGCTTTCCACGTCGGTGTCGTCGCGGTAGTCCGCCTCCTCGTCCTCTTCCTCCAGCGCCGAGGGCAGGGCGCAGGGAAGCGGCTCAGCCAGGGCCAGAATGCTCCCTCCCAAGCCTTGGGTTGCCAGGCGCATGGAGGAGAGCGTGGAGAACACCATCGTGCCGCAGGTGCACCGCAGGCCAGCAGCTTGCGGCGGGAGCGGCTGCCAGGTCCCCGCGCTGGGGATGAACAGGTCGGCTGGCACGAACTTGAACTCGCGGGCCTCCGCTCGCCGGACGGAGCCCTTGCTCTGGGCAGAGCCTTCTGGCGCAGGCTTCAACACATGCTTCTCAATGACCGTGAAGTCCAGGATCTGCCCCACGGGCGCCACAAGGGGGACCTCGCGGCCGAGATCCCAGGTGCGCTCCAGGCCAGCCAGGGGGCGACGGCTGGCGGCCCTGCCGCCGCGGGCGCCCCCGTGCGTTGGAGCTTGTTCAGCTCCCGCTGCGAAGCCTTCAGCAGGTATTCCGCGTTGACCTCGAAGTTGTGAGATGCCGTATTCCGTCGGGCAACAGCCAACGGTGTAGAGATTCGTCCGTCGAGCTGGGCTGCAAGGACGGGCGCAACCATCTTTCCTCTTCCCTTCTTCCTCCCATCCACCTCCTCCTCCTCCTCCTACTCCTCCTCATCCTCCTCCTCCTCCTCATGCTCCTCCTCGTCGTCGTCGTCGTCATCATCATCATCATCATCATCATCATCATCATCATCATCATCATCATCATCATCAAAATCATCATCATCATCATCATCATCATCAGCATCATCAGCATCATCATCATCACCATCATCATCATCATCAGCATCATCATCATCATCATCATCATCATCATCACCATCATCATCAGCATCATCATCATCAGCAGCATCAGCATCAGCATCAGCATCATCAGCATCAGCATCACCAGCATCAGCATCAGCATCATCACCATCATCATCACCATCATTGATCAGTATCATCATCAGCACCAGCATCAGCATCAACATCGTCAGCAACATCATCATTATCAGCATCAGCATCATCATCATCGTCATCGTCATCATCATCATCGTCATCAACATCGCCATAATCAGCATCATCATCATCATCATCATCATCATCATCGTCATCAGCAGCATCATCATCGTCGTCATCATCGTCATTACGAACATGCCCTGTTCGCCCCCCTTCCTCCTCCCTTCACCCTCCCTTCCTCCTCCCTTTCTCCTCCCCTCCTCCTCCCATCGGCATCCCTTCCTCCTCCCTTCCTCCTTCTTTCCTCCTCTCTGACCCCTCCCTTCCACCTCCTCCTCATCCTTCTCCCCCTCCTCCCCCTCCCCCTCCCCCTCCCCCCCCCCCTCCTCCTCCCCCCCTCCTCCTCCTCCTCCTAACCCCTTCCTCCTCCTCCTCCTCCTCCTCCTCCTCCTCCTCCTTCTCATCCTCCTCCTCCTCCTCTTCCTGATCATCATCATCATTAGCATCAGCATCAGCATCATCAGCATCATCATCAGCATCATCATCAGCATCATCATCAGCATGAGCATCAGCATCAGCATCATCAACATCATCAGCATCAGTATCTGAATCATCAGCATCAGCAGCAGCATCAGCATCAGCATCAGCATCAGCATCATCAGCATCAGCATCAGCATCAGCATCAGCATCAGCATCAGCATCATCATCATCATCATCATCAGCAGCATCAGCATCATCATCATCATCATCATCAGCACCAGTATCATCATCACCATCATCACCACAATGCCCACTTCGTCATCCCTCCCCTCCTCTCTTCCTCCTCTCTTCCTTCTCCCTTCCTCCTCCCTTCCTCCTCCCTTCCCTCTTCTTTCCTCCTCCCTGACTCCTCCCTTCCACCTCATCCTCCTGCTCCTCCTCCTCCTCCTCCTGCGCCTCCTCCTCCTCCTCCTCCTCCTCCCCCTTCTTCTCCCCCTCCTCCTCCTCCTCCTCCTCCTCTTTCTCCTGCTCCTCCTCCTCCTCCTCATCATCATCAGCATCACCAGCATCATCATCAGCAGCAGCAGCAGTATCATCGTCGTCATCATCATCATACCATCATTAGCATCAGCATCAGCATCATCCTCGTCATCGTCAAAGTCATTATCATCCTCATCGTCATCCTCATCCTCATCCTCATTATCACCATCACCGTCAGCAGCATCATCATCACCATCATCGACATCATTACCAGCATCAGCGTCAGCATCATCACCAGCATCAGCATCAGCATCAGCATCAGCATCAGCATCAGCATCAGCATCAGCATCATCATCATCATCATCATCAGCATCATCATCATCATCATCATCATCGTCGTCATCGTCATCATCATCATCCTCCTCATTACCACCATGCCCTCTTCGTCCTCAATTCCCCCTCCCTTCCTCCTCTCTTCCTCCTATCTTCCTCCTCCCTTCCTCCTCCCTTCCTCCTCGCTTCCTGCTTCTTTCCCCCTCCCTGACTCCTCCCTTCCACCCTTTCCTCCTCCTCCTCCTCCTCCTCCTCCTCCTCCTCCTCCTCCTCCTCATCCTCCTTGGGCGGCCCGGAGCAGGGGTGGGAGGACGAGGCGGGCGCCTGGAGAACCGCGCGCGGGGCGCGCTCCTGGGGCGGGGGCCCCGCACGCCGCTCTGCCGTCGGGCTCCGGTAGCACGATGCGCGCGATCGCGTCGACCTCCACAACCTTTCCGGGCCCCGGGCCGTCTAGAGAAGAGACAGAGAGAATTAAGACGAAGCTGCGCGAGCGAATAGGGCAACGTAGTCGTGCTGTTGCGACTCGGCCAAACTCCAATGGCCGCGCCAGTGCGCCGAAGTAGCCCTATTGGTAGCCACGCAGGGGCGGACTTTCGAGGCTGTCTCGGGCTGAAGCCCAAACATACTCGGCGGCGAGCGAGGGGGGAAGAGAGAATAAGAAGGCCTTCTCATAAGATTCGGAAGTCCCTGGGCCTTCTGAGAAGTTTTCTGAGCCTTTCCCGGAGAAAAAAAAACTCAAAGGCGCGAGGGCTTCTGAGAAGCCCAGCCGCCTTCTGAGAGGGCCTTCTCCTTCTCATTTCCCCCACATCGCTCGCCGCCGACATACAGTCAACCCGTATAAGAAGGAGGATGCCAGGGCCTTGGAGGGCCACGTCCATGTCTTATTCGAACGAGGCCGACCAAAGAAAGTTACGACGATGGGCCGAAGGGACAAGGGTGCAAGGGTAACCTTTGAAAGTCGCTCATCCTGACCAGGCTCCGAGCCGTCTCGAGAAGAGGAAGGGAAAACTAAGACGAAGCCAGGACGAGGATAAATCCCGGGGAGGATAAATCGGGAATCTCTGAGATCCAGCGGGTCTGGAAGACGTCTCGGGCGCCGCGGCCTTCTCAGAGCTTTCCAGAACGCTCTGAGAGCGTTCTGGATCGCTCTGGAACGGATTTATCCTCGTCCTTGTCCCGTCCGACACAAGCATACGGTCTGACCTCGGCCAGAAGAACATCCCTCAAGAGCCTGAGGCCCACCGTCGGCCAAAGCACCGAATATCCTGGGGTGCTTTCCCCAGGATGCACCAGACCATCCAACATACACGGAGAACATTACACCAAATAAACCCCAATCAGTGGATGGTTTTCGCTGAGGAGATCGATCGACCGGGAACCCGGGAGCCCGAGAATCTGCAAAACCCACCGAAATCGGCCCGGAACCAATAACCAGGAACCCGGGATACTGGACCCGGGAACCCAGGAACCCAGCCTGCTACCAAAAACGGCGGGAAACTTTCGCAAAATCTTTCAATTTCCGCTAGGAAACCCTTCAGTGCAAGCACTGATCTGGGAACAACATTGAACTGCACACCTCAGCATGGGGAAAGCGGGCCCTGAGGCAACCAGGTACTGGATCCCAGGGCCTTCCCCCAGGACGTGTCTCCTCCCGCGCCGTGTCCTGACAGTCCCAGGGCCCGTGGAGGGCCCCGAGAGGCTCGGAGAACGGCGAAAAACCTCGGGACCAGTGCCCGCCCCCCTGCGAACACCCTGCGCTCCTCAGTGAGCGCCAGATGTAGAGGGCAGAAAATCTCCCCGACAAGCGAAGCCGTTTAGTAAACGCGCCCAGGGAAGGAATCGAGCAGGGCGGGGCTGTTTAGTAAACGCCCAGGGCCGTTTAGTGAAGGGAAAAATTGTCGGGTCTGGTTGGCTTTTCCTCCCTTGAAGATGGGCGGGCTCCCGTCCCCTCACCACTCAAGGCCGCGCCAACGGCGATGTTTGGAATCAGATTCCCCAATCAGTGCTTGCACTGAAGGGGTCCTCGTGGAAATTAAAAGATTTGGCGAAACAGTCCCGCCGATTTTGGTCGCACGCTGGGTTCCAGGTTCCCGGTTCCGGATTCCCGGGATCCCGGTTCCGGGTTCTGGGCCGATTTCGGAGGGCGGCGAGGTTCCAGGGTCCTGGTCGATCTTCTTATCGATCGGTCTCACCATCGATCGCAATACCCACTTCTCTATCGATCTCACTATCGATCTCACAACCGATCTCACTATCGATCTCACAAGCGATCTCACTAGAGATCGCATGAGCGATCTCGCGATCGATCTCACTATCGATCTCATTGAATCGATTGCACTCTCGGTCTCATGATCGACCTTACAATCGTCCTCACTATCGATTCCACTATCGATCTTGTTATCGATCTCAGGATCTATAGTATAAAATTTCAAATCATCCACCGATTGGGGTTTTCTCAGGTGTAATGTTTGTGACATCGAGCTCGCGCAGAGCAAATTGTAGGCAATCACGAACCACGCTTTCCTACGTCTCAAATGTGCGCATGCATCGAGCGAGCAAGACGCAGCGAAGTGTAGGGGAAGCACGAACCACGATGTCCTAACAACTCGGTCCGGCCACGAACCAGTCCCGCCTGCAGTGCCGAAACCTACCTCGCTGTTGCCTGCAGTGCCGTTAGCGCGCCGAAGGACCACACGGCCCCGCGAGCGCCCCCGCCGCGGACAGCCCCCCACCACCCCATGCAGGGACCGACCGTCCCGGCATTTGTATAGGCCTACTACGAAATTTCTTAGAACCCAGAAAGTTTCCAAGAACAAGCAATGTTCTTAGAACATACTCCCGATGTGTTAAAACAAGACAGTCCCAGCCAGATATGTTCTAAGAACATGTCGTGGAAACCCCAAAAGGTTCTTAGAACATCGTTTGGTAGGCCTATAGGCACGCCAGGGCGCTTCGCCACTGCTTGACCCCCGAAGGCGCGAGGCGCGCGGACCCCTCGAGCGTGGTCCGCCGGCGTGGCGCGGCGGCGGGGGTGAGCACAGCCAGCTCGTGCGAGAAGGATGCACGGTGAGGCTGGCAAGGGCCTCGGATGGTTTATCTCGAAGCTATCCTCCTCCTCCTCCTCCGCCTCCTCCTCCGCCTCCTCCTCCTCCGCCTCCTCCTCGTCCGCCTGCTCCTCCTTCGAGCGGGGCGCGGCCAACGCAAGTGGCCAAGGTCGGGGGCGCGCAAACATGGATTAACGATCCATGGATCTGGCGCGCGGTCGCCAAATCCATGGATCGGGGGAGGTGAGCTCCCCAAAATGCGGTTGGTGCCGCCTCGTTCGGCGGCGGAAGCCCGCGCTTTCCCATGGGAACGGGACCCGTCGCCAATCCACGCCCCCTTGATCCATGTTTGCGATCGCCTGACGAGGATGGGCCGATGAGAGAAGGATGCGAGGGTACCCTTGGGAAGGATGCGAGGGTACCCTCGGGAAGGTGGCCCAGGCCCACTCCTCAATGTGCGGGTTGACGGTGCCTCCCCCCGCGCTTCGTCTTGCCATGGTTCGGGCGTCCCCTCCCCGCGTGATGCGGGGTGGCGTGCGCTGCGCCGCTCAGCGCGGGGTGATCCAGGAGGACCCATCGCTGGCCCTCGCCGAGATAAGAAGGGCACGCCCGAGCGATGCCAAGCAGTGAGAAGCTCGAGGTGTCTGTGGGGCGTCGCAGCAGGCTCCCATTCGAGAACCGAGGAGACGTAAGACTCGGGCTAGGGGGGCTCGGGTTGGCCCGACGGGGCCATCCTGAAAATGACGCAACCCGGTCTGAAACTTAACGCGAGCTCCCGCCGCAGACATCCCACGAAACCTGGACCGCACAAACCTGGGACGAGCTTGCCAACAAGCGTCGGAAAACCTGAGTCTTCGGTTTCCCCGAAAAAAGGTCGACCCCCAGAGGTCTGGACCCATTCCCCTGGACCGTCGTTTCGTCCTGAGTCGCTCGTTGACGGTCCCGGGGACTGGTGAAGGCCCCTGGAGGCCGAACATAGCAACCACAACAACAAAACAACTCCCGTCAAATTTTGTCACAACGCGAGGGGGTGTGGCAGCAGGAGAGGGGACATAATGTTTTGCCTTGAGCCACATGTGGCACGGACGCACACAAGATGGATCTCTATCCATCAGTCCCCAGGGTGAAACACCAAAAGCTAAAAATATACGTGAGATTATGGACCCCTGGAACATGGGTCCAACTTTCTCTAGGTTTAGCTGTCCCGAAACTCAATTCACAAGTCCGTGTCCACTGTCTGGCAGTGTCAAAAGCGACCTGCAAATGCTAAACATACGCAGCAGCAGAAAGATAGAGAGGCAGAACTAGAGAGCAGATTATTGGAAAGCGGATTCGGAGGATAATGAAGGCGGAGGGAGAGAGGAGGAGGACGGGAGGACACTGCCACCACCAACCAGGCCAGGAGGAGCCCTCTGGTTCAGGTAGCCGAGCCATGCGATCCAGGCAGGCTCCGACAGCATTCTTCGGGAGGCTGACTGAGAGCGATCCTTGAGCTCGGGCATGTCCTTCCGGCGGCCGACCTCTTAAGCCTCGTCCACCAGACTGAGCTTGCCATTGGTCATCAGATCAAACAGCGCGGCATTGCACTTAGTCGCGTCGTCCTTGGTCAGGGCATCCACGGGCATACGGCAATGGGGTATCCACCGTATTCTACCCCTGGCTCGCTCCAGGGACTCACAGATGATGGCGAGGTCTAGAGCAGTACGCCTGTCGCGGGCCGACGCATTTCCTTCCTTTTGGAAGGTATCATATATTGACTTGGCGTCCACTACGTGGACCTACTGCCCCCTGGAACCCAAACTACAATCGCGTCTTCAGACCGTAGTGAAGGGCCCTGAGGCCCGCGCGCAATCAGGCAGATCAACAGCCCTGAACACAACATCTCGATACAACACTTGAAGATACTCGACTTGCGCCACGGCAGCCGAGAGAGCTTGAGTCTCCCCGGCTAACGTCGAAGGCACCTTACGCCGTAGCTTACTGCTACGCCAACCGAGAACGGACGCTCTCACCACCTGATTATCGAGAACAGACTTGTCTGCAGCCAACACCATCCAGGCTCCCTGGGTGGGGTCGGCCAGAAGGCCGTTGTCGTCCTGGAGCGACTCTACCGATCCGACACCGCCGGCATCGGAAAAAGAGATGAAAGACATGCGCTCGGGGTCTAGTTGCCAGATCGTCAATCCTCGAGAGGCTGTTGCCCCCAAGTGCTTCACCAACTTGTTGGCACAGGACACGTCCGACACTGTCGGAGCTCTTAAACGACTGGCCAACATACTCGCCACTCAATCCGCTTCTGGCCGTGACTCTCGGCCGACCCAATTGAACTTATAGACTAGGGAATGCAAAGCTTTGAACTCGGACTGCTCGAGAAGAGAATTCTTGA